AAATGCAATCAAGCTTTAGATCCAAACTGTCCACATGTGCATCTGGTAATTTGTTTCCCACCAAAGTCAATTCCTTCTGAGCTTCAGCTGATAATTTTCTTGGACTTTTAAATCCTTGTCACCATTTAAGGTTTGGACAAATTACTCAGTTCATTTTTTTTCTACTCCAATAGTGGGCCATAGATAGAAAATGTCTCCTAGCAGTCTTTGAAAGTCATTAAAAGTCAGCAGTTGATCTCTCCTAATTTGAACCTTTGGGGGTCTAATTTTCTGTAGATCTATATTATATCCTAAATAATTACTAGAATCTCTTCTTTGTATTTTTTCAGGAGAAATTTGTAATCCCTAACAAGGCAAAATTTTCTTTACTTCTTCAAACATTCTTTCCAAGTATCTACATTTGAGTCAGCTAGTAAAATATTGTCCATATAATGGTAAACTGTAGATTGAGGAAATTGCTTATGTATTATTTCCGATGGCTGACTTACAAAATATTGGGGAGGGGAGGGCTATTTAACATTCTCTGTGGGAGAACCTTCCATTAATAACTCTTAACAGGCTGAGAATTATTTTAAGTAGGCACCATTAAAGCAAATTTTTCTCTGTCTTTCTTGTAAAGGTATAGTGAAAAAAGAATCTTTTAAATCAATAATTATGAGAGGCCATCCTTTAGGTAATAAAGAAAGCAAAGGAATTCCAGGCTGTAGAGAATCCATTGGCTGAATCACCTTATTAACCGCTTAGATCTGTTACCATTCTCCATTTTCCAGATTTCTTTTTAATAAATATGGGAGAATTCCAAGGACTGGTTGATTTTTCAATATGCTGAGCATTTAACTGCTTCTGTACTAGCTCTTCCAAGGCTTTTCATTCTTTGGCTGTTGAGTGTGAATCCCAGGCCTCTTATTCATCAGTTATGACTATTACTACCCTCATCATATTGGGAGAGCTTTCTCAGGAAAACTCAGATTCTCTGAATTCTAAATGATATTTCTGATTTCTTAGAATTTAAAAAGAAATGATGCTTTGGAGGCTGAAGAGTAAGATCTGCTTATAAATGCATAGTAATATCCTGATTCATATAATAAATGACATAGTGCTTGAATGTTAAGCACATGAAACATCAACTTCTGATACATTTAAAAAGCTAGAACTTAATGGAGTGTTGATTAGAAGTGACCCTAGATTTCATTTTCACTCTGTTGTTTTCTTCCCATGTAAAACATGAATCATGTTTCATGTTGCTACATGAATAGAAATAATATGGGGGGGGTCACTGGTTGGTTTATTGTATATTGCTTTTATCCCCAAATAAAACAAGGGTATAAGAACCAAATACTGGAGGCCAAAGTGTAACACAGCTAAGCCTGGGTGAATTAAAGTGAGCACAGTGCTTGAACAACAACCACACAAAGCATAAGGATTGATTTTTCCTTCAGATCTGTTTATGGGGACATGTCTGTGCACTTTATGCCTAGATTTAAAAAAGGAAGAGGTAAGAGACAGCAAAATGCCTGGTATGGTGACCATTCAGTGTCCTCATCTTTCAGGGAATGGAAACAAATCCATTTAATCCCGAATTTATCAGTCTACTTACTGGGACTTACTTTGTACTTCTCTCCCTTAATTCTACCATGTACAGGAAATAGTTTAACCTTTTCTTTGAGAATATCAGTTCCTCTAGTGGAGAATAAACAAATCCACTCTCAGGGACAACTGAGACATAAAATGTCAAGCACTCCTTTGCTGCCTAATTTCATATTGCTTGCTTTTTGAGTTCTGTCTGTTTTTTTCACAGTTTCTCTATCTTCCCCTATAATCAGCTGTCACTTTTGCTGCTGTGTTGTGTGCCTGCCTTCTGCAATAGGCCCCTAATTTGCTGCTTATAATCCGCTGTGGACTGAGAAACCAGATTGCCAAGCTTGCTAGAACTGTGTCTAAACTAAGAGTAAGTAGACTGGAAAAGGCTGAGAGCTTTTCTGTTGGTCACGTCCATGGACTGTGTCATGCCTATTTGGCTGCTTAGCATTATTGTATGTGCATTTTGTGTTTTGCTAAAAACTTGCTAAAAATACTTGGTTGAAAATATGATTACCATATATTTGAAATACTAATTTGGTGTTTATGTCCTGATGTTTCTAGGACACCTCACTAATGAATTCAACTGTAAAAGAAAAATTGACTATCATCTTTGTATGTCATTGTGTGTGTGTCAAAAAAAAATGTTAGTCATTTGTTTTTGTTAGCCTTTACTCAGTACACAGATTTAAAGTTTATGTCATTGTTGTGGATCCTGCACAGTAGTTACTTGTCTGAAACTAAATATAACTCATTGGGTAAGAACTGGCTAACTTGACAGGGAGTGAATCATTCAGACATCCAAGTTCTTTAATAATATATGAAATATATCTTAATCTTTTCTATATTAAAACAATTATTACTGGGCTGGAGAGATGGCTCAGGTGTAAAGTGATTGCTGCATAAGCGTGAGAATTGAGAACCACATATAAAGGGGAGTATAATGGAGTAACCCTGGGGGTTGGAGTCTGGATAAACCCTGAAACTCTCTGGCCTAAACAGTGAGAATGGTCTAAGGAAACCCTGAACATCAGTCTCTGGCCTAACATACACACAGAGACACACAATCACACCTAAATTTGTATACACATACCCTCATGTGTACATGTACACAAAAACATATATACACAAAATTATTATTATTATCATTATCATTATTATTGGTTTTTGAGACAGGGTCTCTCTGTGTAGCCTTGGCTGTCCTGGAACTCACTGTATAGAAAAGGCTGGCCTTGAGTTCTGCCTGTCTCTGCCTGCCAAGTGTGAGGATTAAAGACATGTACTACCACACCCAGCTCAAAATGATCATATGAACATTGGCTATTATACTCTGATACACTAAACACTGAGAACTGTCCCATCTTTGAGCTCCATTTGGCTGGGCTTTAATTATCATGTGTTTGGTTTTGATAATTACTCCCACTTCTACATTTGTGTTACTGTTTCCTTAACTGTGCTGGATTTAGCAGCCTTTCTCCATGTTCACATGTGCCTTCCGATCTGGTTGGAGACTGGATGACTCTGCGAGTTAAATTGTGTAAGGTAGACCCAAAAGATCGACTACTTGAGCCCATTGGTTTTTCTGTAGCATTTCTTATGACCTTCTGGATTGTAGTCCTTGATCTAATAAAAATACTGGGTTAAATGCCTGCTCTCAAAATAAAATTGTCATTACACAGAAATAACCATTTTGCCTTCTCTAAAGTTAGTGCTATATTGTAACTCTTTTGCAATAATTAAAACTAGTCCATTGGAGTTGGCATTGTCATTTATATTTTCTGTTTGAATTGGATACCATATGCTGTTATGAATTTCCTTGGCTTTTTTAAAAAGAGAAATGCATCTTCATTTCCAAAACGAAGTACATTAAGCCTGGAAAACAAGAAAACATCAATTATTGAAGGTATCTGAAAAGTATTGGGCTTGTAGACTCTAGGCTACAAAGACTTTATTCTTTAATATGCTAGGTTTTTAAACAGTACCTTTGCTTTCTTTCATTCAACTTAAGGAAGTATACATTAAAAGCTTCCCATGATTTATCAGTGTTGGAGCTAAGGCCGATAACAGAGTGATAGAATTTTCAGTGTCATTCAGTAGCTCACATGCCTAAATTAGCCTTTAATATATAAAATAAGCAACATGATGTTCCTCTCCATAATGAAAAAAAATGTAACATTTTCACACAATACTAGAATCTGTCTAGAAGCACTCTGCTAGTGTACATTTCATTGTACTATTTATGTAATATGCTTTGGTAATGATGGGACTCACATTTTCATCATATACAGTGTGAGTGGTATGTCAGTCTATTTTATAATCATGCTTCATGCAGCTGGCCTTCAGTTATACAGGTTAAGGAAGGTAATTATGATGTAATAGTTGTAAAAAGAATGGTTCAAACCAGTTTCTTGTGTTGACACCATTGTAGAAGGAAGAGTGATGCCAAACATGCTTGGTGCTTCTCTTTGAATAAGCTGTTAGATGAGCATACTTCTACTTAGTGCAGTTGCTGTAAACCAAAGAGAAGGAATTCATATCAGGGCTCACATATGCAAAAGTTAGCAGAATCAAGAATGGACTTTATACCTAACTTTAAATGTGTGATAAAATCCAGGCATGATGCACACCTTTAATCCTAGCACTCCGGAGACAGAGGCACTTGTATCTCTGATTTTGAGACCAGCCTGGTCTACATAGTGAATTCCAGGCCAGTCAGGATCATATAATAATGATTGTGTGATAGACTAAAATGCACATGATATCTTTAAAATGCAGTACATTATTATCCACTTTAGTCTATGAGCTGTTATATTAGTTTTATCCCTGTGTGCTGAAATTCATTTAGCACATGTGTTGCTAAAGTAGAAATGGTGTTTAGGATGTCTATACTTCTAGATTATGCAAGCTTAAAAATCAAGACTATAGATGTCATGATAGATAGATATATTTATTCTTATTTATTTCTTAAGGGTTTCTCAAAATAGGTAATGTTATTGTTTTAGGCTTTAGTTTTTAGTTTTATAACATTTCCTAAACATTGACTACATACAAATAAGTTCACTATTGAATTTTTTTCTGAAACTAAAGTATATCATTTGTAAATTCACTCATTTATAATGATCTAAACAACTTCTTAGCCCTCTTCTCCTTCTAAGTTAAATGACTAAGTTGACTCCATTTCTAAGTCCAAATATGTTCTCCTCCCTACTAGTCTGTACCTTCTGTTCAATACTGTGACTTAAAAAAAACAGTGCTTATTCAGGCACAGTACTAGCATGTAACAATGTATGATGGCTCCAAGAACGTCACTCCTGTCCCTAAAGGTTGGTGTGTAGCCCTGATACAGCCCTGAAGGCCCACATGGGTGAGGAGCCCAGAAGCCTATTCCAGCTGAAAGCAGTCCCAAGGATTTTGGTTTTGTTTGGGTTTGTTCTAGGTATGGTCCCAGGGATCCCAGATCAAACCAGGCCCCTGGGCCTATCCTAGAACCAACCTAAACCCGCGCATCATTCCTGAACGATCCAGAGTGTGAAGACTGAAGATAACTGAGGCTGACCACACATCCTGTGCTCACCAAGATTTACTTTTCATATGTATACCTATTGTTTAGCAAGCATTGGCTGGTTGATCTATCTGAAATCAAAGTGACAACATCTGGTAACAACATAAAGTCTCCCAAGACTAATAAATACTACATTAGTTTCCCACAATAGAAATTCTATGTGGTTGTTATTAATTACCAGTGAGGAGAACTGTTCTTGTGATTTTTGTCATCAGATAAAATAGATGAAAATGTCTATTTTAAGAAGCAGCAACTTAGCAACAAAACAGCCCTCTTCCAAAATAAATGAAACCTGTTTCGTAACTACTTTCAGTGACACTGTATCAGTGTCCTTCAACTGGGTGGGTTAGTCACACTTTCTGGAGGGCATCAGTCTTTATCTTTTGGTTCTAATGCTGAGTGATTTTAAATTCTTGTTTCAGAAAATAGTATCTTTTCCCTATCACGAGTCTGCTGCACATCAGAGCTCACTTTAGAAGTTTTCTGTGGTTCCTGATAACAAAGTAGGGCAGTACAGTGGAAGTGGCTTAAGCCCTCAGATTTTATATCAGGATTTTGCAGAAGAATATTTTAAGAACTTCATTTTTTCTTCCTTGATGCTTTGGATTTTTAAACCATTCTGATAATGTATTATATGGCCTCATATCAACTGCATGTTTATTTGTTTTGATTTGGAAGAGAGAATTCTGAAAAGGCATGAAGGAACATCCAGACTCAAAAATTGTGGTAAGCATTAAAAGTGTATGCTTTTCATATTTAGTGTAGAATAACAAGCTCTCCATATATAAGGAACTTGAAATTGTGCTGTCTAACCAGTCTATCACAACAGCACATTTAGGTCACCAGGTCACAGTTATTGTGGCTCATGTGAATAACTCATCTGTGGCATTGGTTCTACACCATTTTCATACCATGGATTTTTGGTAGTATTTTCTTCATGGATTTACTGTATTTCTTGGCATTGCCTAAAATGCATATGAACATGTTAGGTTGATGTATAGTGTGTTTTGTCAGTATTTAGGGAACATTGCACTAGTTTACATTATTAATTATGGACACTAAAAATAGGAAAGTATGGACTATTTAATGAAGGTTTTGTGTGTGTGTTTCTTTTTTTAAGTCAGGGTCTCATATCCTAGGCTAGTTTTGAACTTTCTATGTAGCTAAGGTTAGCCTTAAACTCTTGACCTCCTATTTCTACCTCCCAGGTTCTGGTATAAGTATGTATCACCAGACCTAACTGTTTTGTTGTTGTTTTTGTTGGGGTTTTTGTTTTGTTTTGTTTTGTTTTAAGACATTTTGTAACAATGACTGGCCTTCTACTTCCTGTATAGACCAGGCTGGTCTTGAGCTTCTGGCAATTCTCCTGCCTCCACATCTAGAGTGCTGAGATTACAGATGTGTGCCACCATTCTTAGCAAGGTTTGGCTCTTTAGTAAGCTTTTCAAGTCTGCTCAGTAGTAGAGTGCTGGCCTATCAGCAAGGCTCTGAGACCTATCTCTGATACCCTCCAATCTGCCCCCCCACCAATGGCCTCTGGAAATACTTTTTCAAATACTTTTTAGTTTTGTTTTATGGTTATTTATGCCCTATATTTAGAACTTAGAACTCTGCATTCCCTACTCTAATTGAAAACTTGAGATTATAAAATCTTGGGGGATGGGACTTTTTTGTTGAATTGGGATAAAACACCAAAAATTTTACTATTGCCACTTCTATGTTCAATTCTGGAAATGTCTGTGCTTTAATGAAGCATTTCTAGAACTTTTCATTGTGCAAATCTTAAATTCTTCTATCACTAAGATAAGAGTTTCCCTTCCTCCCGCTGCTTCCCATGGCCCTTGGCAGGCATGCACCGATCTGTTTCCTGGTATGACCTCAGTTCATCTCATTTAGCATGTGACAGAATTTCTTTTTTTAGGGCTGAATAATCTACACATTTACTACATGTTGTTGATCATTCATCTGCTGGTGGACATTGACGGCTTCCCCGTCCTGGTTATTATAAATGATGCTGTTATGTGTGTACATGTGCCTCCTTTTAAACACAGTACTTTATTAGTCACTTTTGGTGTTTTATTACATTAGTTTGTCAACTATTTTTAAAAGCTTTTAAATTGTAGGCTTGCAAATGCTGTGTAACTGTTCTAAGCTTAAATCATCTCTAATAAAATCTGAAATGCTTTGTATATTTTTGTGTGTCTTTTTTATCCTGCCATTTGCAACATGGACTAATGACTAGAAGGAAGAAGTCCTTTCTCTTCCTCTTGTCACTATTTCTCTTCCTTTATAGTATTTCCCACCACTTTATACAAGAATAAAAAATACAGTATTGCCTGGGCAATCCTTTGAATCATTAGCCTAACTTTTGCTTGTTAAATACCTGGTGATAATTTATCAGAATGAAAGCAGTGGCTTAATTTTAGATTACCCAGGTTTTTTGTTGTTGTTACAGTTTTCTGTTTGCTCTGGTGTTTTTGTTTGTTTGGGTGGTTGGTTGTTTTTTTGTTGGTGGTGGTTTATTTTTGAGCCACTGTTTGACTCTGTAACAGTTTTTGCATCAAAGGCCCAGCCATCCTCCTACTTTAGCCTTCTTCTAACTGCTAGAAATAGAGGTGTGCAGCACCACTGTATGACTTGAAAATGTTCCATTTTCACCATTCCCTCTGGATACAGCAGGTTGTATTTGATAACCTCTTGACAGAAAAGACAGAATCAAGGAGGGAATCGGTATCCAATGGTTCATACCTTGTCTCAGGATAGTCCTGGGGCCACAGAATGGTGCTATAAATAAAATTCTGGATAAAGAGAAAGTAGTCTTTCTTGGAACTTTTAAAAATATAAACTACCCTTCTCCAAATGTTTGATCAAGAAGAAGAAGTATCCAAAAAAGCAAGTTCTAAAACATGCCCTCATGTGAAATTTGCTGGTTAAAGTTGTGAAATGAAAGTGGATTCAAGCACACCTTGAATCCCAGCACTCAGGAGGCAGAGGCAGGTGAATCCCTGAGTTTGAGGCCAGCCTGGTCTACAGAAATGTTCCAGGACAACCAGGGCTACACAGAAAAACCATGTCTTGAAAAACAAACAAACTAGACCTCACTGGGCCTGGAGACATGGCTCAGTGGTTAAGAGCACTAACTGATCCAGACCTAGGCTTGGTTCCCAGGACCTATGTGGTACTCCAGTTCCAGGGGATCTGATGCCCTCTTCCAGCTTCGGGAATGCACATGGTACACAGACATACATGCAGGCAAATCATCCATACACATAAAACAATAAAAGATTTGTTTTTTAAAAGTGTGAGAGGACATAATATATGTGTAGTTACTCTACCGTATTCTGAAGTCACTGGGTAGAAAATAGCCCATATGATAATCCTTTCTGGTCTTCACAATTTGCTTTTGAAGGTCATTAATAGATGTGCTGTAACCATTGAAAATACAGTTGGCAAAGAGTAATTTTCCTCGAATGTACATCTGGAAAAAGTTAACAAAACATTTTTAGAATTTAATCCTAAGGGTTTGAAACTCTTAGAATTTAGTCCTAATTTGAAAGAAAAACTTCAACCTACAAGTATTCATGCTTCTACATAGAAAACAGCATACATATCCCTAGAGTCTGAGTTTAAGGTTTAAAACTAAGAAAAAAGGCCCAAGAGTTGTGTGGATCAGACATTCAAAGTGGTATGCTAATTAAGTTCAAAGATACCAACATGTGTTCTTAAGCATTAGAATGTGTTTGTTTTCTTTTACAGCTAACCACTAAGACAATACAGAGCCCTGGCATTTGGAAGTCAGTAGATTCGAATTACAAACAAAACAAGAACTCTGCAAATTGAGTCACTCATCTTTAAAAAAAAAAAAAAAAAAAAAAAAAAAAAAAAAAAGGCACATTAATTATGATTTGGGAATTAAACTAGACCTCTAAAAACATCTTCTATTCCAAGCATTGTTTACCTGGGTTTTATGGGATGTGTCTGAGTGCATTTATGTGCCCCATATATGTACAGGAAGCTGCAGAGGTCGAAAAGGATAAAGATACCCTGGGACTGGAGTTACAAGCAGTTCTGAGCCTCTGTGTAGGTGCTGGAAACTGAATCTGAGTTCTCTTCAGGAGCCTAAAGTGCTCTTAAGCACTGAGCCATCTCTCCAGCACTGTTTCTCTAACTAGGTGTAAGAGAATCCTAAATCTTGAGACAAAATAAATAACTTTTCTTTTTCAGCTTTTAGAGATTGGGAGGAAAGGATTCCTTTTAAGGGTGGCAAGCGAAGAAAGCAATTAAAACTTTAAGAGCTTGTTATAGCACAGAACTTAATGGTGTTATAAAACAAAGTATGCCTTGTGTCTTCAAGCACCAAGAGCCTGAAAGTCTTGAGAAGTGTGTAAATTCTTTGGCCCTACATTATTCCTTTCCCTTTACATTATATGATCTTTTCATCATGAAGGGTGTTTTCCTCTATGGAAATAGAATTTTCTGGTTTACCATTTCTGCAACAAAAGAATCTGTTTCTTAGGTCCATCTAGATGGCCAGTTCAGGATGAAATGGAGTTCTGTGTGGTTCCCGGACCTGAAATACTTTGTCTTTAGCCTTATTCTTTAACACTCATCCCTGACTATTAACCATAAAGCATGTATATTGCTTGAACTTAGAAGGTGAAACTATACAGATGGTTAATAATAGGTTATTATTGTATTATTATAACCAATAGCAAAATTATAATGAAGAACATGTATGTGAATATTTTATGAGATCTAAAACACAAAACATTATTTCTCATCTTCTTTGTCTGCTTCTGCTTCTCTTCTCTCTGCCTTTCTATGGTGACCAGCCATGGCGGTCACCTCTTCTCTCTTAGTCTCTCTACTCTGCTGGGCCTATAATAAACTGGTTAGAAAAAAGAAAAATTTCTTAATAGTGACAAGGATGTTAG